TACACACGGCTCTACATACACTCCATACATATCTGTTCACGTATATACCTTTGCTGCTCTTCTTCTTGCTCTCAGTTGGTCTGAAGTGCACAGTTGGCAGCGGACATACCAGCTGCATTGGCTCCGCTTCCATCAAACATGAATTCTTCTTATCCCAGCCAGCTCCTTCTAGATACAGACCGCGGATCCACACCCCATCCTAAAAACCAGACATCATCATTATCCATCCATACTCCTTCCAATATGTCACCCTGCAGGAGGAGGACAGACTCATAGCCCCCTTCTATGTATCACCCTGCAGGAGGAGGACAGACTCATAGCTCCCTTCTACGTATCACCCTGCAGGAGGAGGACAGACTCATAGCTCCCTTCTGTCTGTGTCACCCTGCAGGAGGAGGACAGACTCATAGCCCCCTTCTGTCTGTGTCACCCTGCAGGAGGAGGACAGACTCATAGCTCCCTTCTGTCTGTATCACCCTGCAGTAGGAGGACAGACTCATAGCTCCCTTCTGTCTGTGTCATCCTGCAGGAGGAGGACAGACTCATAGCTCCCTTCTGTCTGTATCACCCTGCAGGAGGAGGACAGACTCATAGCCCCCTTCTATGTATCACGCTGCAGGAGGAGGACAGACTCATAGCCCCCTTCTGTCTGTGTCATCCTGCAGGAGGAGGACAGACTCATAGCTCCCTTCTGTCTGTATCACCCTGCAGGAGGAGGACAGACTCATAGCTCCCTTCTGTCTGTATCACCCTGCAGGAGGAGGACAGACTCATAGCCCCCTTCTATGTATCACCCTGCAGGAGGAGGACAGACTCATAGCTCCCTTCTGTCTGAGGATTGTGATTCTCACCTTTGGAGGATACACCAGGTTATTATCATCCACAGTAGAGACAATGAATTCCCAGGATAGAGAGTCAACAGAGACCTAAAGAAGACAAAATATGATTCAAGGTCACTGAATATCCTTCTACAATTCTGTACAGATAATGAAGTGCTATTATATAATCACAATGCACAGATCCTCCTATTGCATATCATTGTACATCGCTCCTTCATCTCACATTATTCTGCCGGGCCGCGCTCTGGAGTACAGCAGTCAGGAAACCGGTTGGGAAGGTGAATGCGGAAAGCCAGAACAAAACCGGAGGGCGCGCAGTCTCTGCCCAGCGAGCGAACATCTCTACACGTGATGCCAGGTCCCGGGTCCAGGCCGCCAATGGTTTTAATGAAGGATAAGCCTGGAGATGAAAAGGTTAATAGTCTGGTAACTCCTCGTCTCTGCATCCTGCCTTCCATCATCCCTCCTCTTCCCATCTTCTATCACCTCTCTTCATCCTGCCTTCCATCATCCCTCCTCTTCCCATCTTATATCACCTCTCTTCATCCTGCCTTCCATCTTCTATCACCTCTCTTCATCCTGCCTTCCATCTTCTATCACCTCTCTCCATCCTGCTTGCTATCTTCCCTCCTCATCACGTCCTCTATAACCTCTCTTCATCCAGCCTTCCATCATGCCCCCTCATTCCCTCTCTTCACCCTCCTCTCTATCATCCCTTGTCTATAAATACACACACACCTTTTCCCAGAGTGGCGGAACGCGGGCGTCATGTATATAGGTAAAGATCTCCTCCAGTTCTGTGGACATGACCACCAAGCCTTGTATCCCGTATTCCAGGTCCAGAAGAGAGGACCTATAATAAAGAGTATAAAACTCAGTCAGTGTTCTTTATAGACGTGGAATGCGGACAGATGACTGAAAACTTCCCCTTCTCTATATTTATAGTCCACATTTATGATATTAATAGGATTTTGTACACATTGTAAAATCCTTTTCTTGGAGTGTATTGAGGGACACAGGAAGTCCTTACTTGCGACTTATAGGAGGATTGCAAAACAAATGGCAAACGCACTCATCAATTTGTTACCAGCTTTACAGCGTGGTGCACATGGAAGGGCCTTATACAATAAAACAGCAAAACGTTTCCCCGCACACTCACCAGCCAGCATGATGCATGGGGGGTCTCAGCTGCCGTTGTGATGTGCGGGATCCCTTGTGCGTACCTGTGCCTTTAAGGGAGGTTGGACTTCCTCCTGACAAACCTGCACCCAATTTGAAATCTTCTGCCCCCATGTGCTCCAAGATAGAGACTCTCATAGGTTAGAGTTAGGACCGCACTATAAGAGGTGCCTTGGCGCGGCTGTGCGGCTTTCACATTTTCTGCAGAAGACGTATCTAAACCTCTGTTCTTAACCTTAGCGGTGAGACAAGTTTTTTTGCATGCTGGCTGGTGAGTGTGCTGGGAAAACTTTTTGCTGTTTTACAGGAGGATTGGACACTGACAAACAAAAAAAACTGTACGGCAGCCCACGGTATATCCCCTCCTACTCCCAGCAAGCTTTAATTCAGCAGCAAAGCAGTACAGAGAATATCATCATAAACACCGAGGGGCAGGACATGTGTCTCTCAATGGACTCCAAGAAAAGGATTTTACACTGAGTACAAAAATCCAATTTTCTTTCTCGTCCAGTGAGGGATACAGGACCATACTTTACCTATCGGATGTCCAAAAGCAGTCCAACAGAGGGGTGGGAAACAGAAAACTGGAGACTGCTTACAGCTCATGGAGCTGTCTGAAGGACCTAATGCCTGAAGCTGGCATCAGATGAGGCAGAAACATGCACCTGGCAGAACCTAGAGAAATCGTGAACAGAACATCAGGTGGCAGCCTTACAAATCTGGGAAACAGTCGTCTGATTCTGAAAAGCCGGAGAAAAGCTTGCAGATCCAGTAGAGCGAGTCGTAATAGGAAAGAAAGAACCAGATCCTTGAGACTATAAGCTTGAACAATGGTCTGTCTCAGCCACCTAGAGATGGTAGAACGAGAAGCAGGTTCCCCTTTGTGGGCACCATCTGGGATGAGAAAAAAAGCAATCAATCTTCCTGAAAGAAGCAATGGGTCAGAAGTAGACTCGCACAGTCTGAACCACATCCGGACAATGGAAGGAGATTTTCTTCTGATGAACCCGAGCTGAATAAAAGGACGGGAGAACAATGTCCTGGTTAAGTTGGATGCCAGAGACTACCTTATACAAGAAGTAAGTCCTGGGCCTCAACGCCATCTTGTCCCCATGCAAGACTAAAAATGGTTTGCTTAAAGATAAGGCCACCAGTTCAGGCACTCTCCTCACAAAGGTGATGGCTACAAGAAAAAACATCCTAGTGAGCAGAGAGACAAATGTCTTTGAGCTTCAGAAGCCACCATTTGGACCCGTTAAAGAGAACCAGGTTCAGATCAAACGGCGTTACAGGGGGGCGGACCACATGCGAGACCCCCTGCACAAAGGTCTTACACAAAAAATAAGAGGCCGGGAACCCTGAAACTGAATCAAAAGAGCAGAGACCTGACCTTCGATGGTGCTGAGAGCCAGACGCTGGTCCAGAGCCAGCTGCAGAAAGGATAGGATTTGTCCCTAGAACCTGGACCTCAACAGCCATGCCGGTAATGCCAGAGACGGAGAAGAAAAAAAAATTGCTAGAAAAGAAAAATTGCTTCAGGAAAGCTGAAGAGAAGTCGTACATCCGCCTAGAGCAATAGAAAAAATGCTGCTGGTAGGGTTAGGGTTATTCACTGGTCCTACCTCCTGTACGCAACAGTATAACATGAAGGTTTAAGACTTCCTGTGTCCAACGTCTGAGAAAGAAATATAATTTACAGCATCCCCTTTAACTTGATATAGTCTCGTTCTTTGGATCCGCACTGACCTGATTGTGCTGAGAAGAGCATTGTATCTCTGGATCTCTTGTAGTAACACAACGTTGAGTGGATTGGGGTCATCACTCAAAACTTTCCTTGTTCCCTCGTAATCAATTTCCTGAGGAATCTTCTGACGAACATCGGTCAGTAACTCCAGGACCTGAGAAAAGAAGACACGGGGAAAGTGTATCTGTCAGCCACTTGAAACTTTTCTTAAGGCCTTTCGGATCACGAATGCTGCAAGGTGTCCGCTATTTTAATGCACTGACTATGGGACCAAGTCTAACCCATTCCCCTGTCCAGTGAGAATGATAAGGCACACAGATAAAACAGGGATGTGGCAGGTTGGGGAAGGAGGACCCAGGCTGGGTTCACACCTGAGCGTACGGAATATGCGCGTTTCTACCGCGATTTGCGGTGCGACAAACGCGCGTTTCCGAGGGCTATCCGGCGGTATCCTAATGGATACGCACGGCAAATACGCCCCAAAGAAGCTCCTGTACTACTTTGGGCGTAAGGCGTTTAACAGCGCGTTCCTACGTGCTGTAAAACGCCCAGGTGTGAAGCAGGCCTTAGTCCCAGGGATGTCAAGCAGATAGTAAGATAACATGATAGTAAGATAACATGATAGTAAGATAACATGATAGTAAGATAACATGATAGTAAGATAATCAGAATGGTGCACAGAAGAGGCTTTTCTAGTTAGCAGTAGTCACAGAAGCTACTTCTTAGTATCCTAGGCAAGAATTATATTTTTGTTTGCTTTAGGAATTCCTATTAAAATGTAATGTGTACTTTTCACACGTATTCTAAGTCATTCTACCGCTATGCTGAAAATGACTGATATGCTATGAAGATGTTGATGATCTCTCACTACAGGCAGTCCCCGGGTTACGAACAAGATAGGGACTGTAGGTTGGTTCTTAAGTTGAATTTGTATGTAAGTTGGAACAGGTACATTTTTTAAGTGTAACTCCAGGCCAAATGTGTTTTTGTTTGTTTTGGATAACATGGGGAAAGGTTAACCCCACTGTAAAGTTTGTTTTTGCTGTGCGTGCCCCTGTTCAGAAGATTTCACCTCACTTTCTGTCCCTGTGACAATTGGATTTTGAAAATTTGGGGTTGTCGTGGAAACAAGGATTGGTGATAAAGCTTCAGTGGAGACACCTTTTTCCTATGATAACTCTTACAGGAGTGAATTTCCGTTCCTAGGGGTAGATTTCCTCTCACTTCCTGTTGTCTCAAGAACAGGAAGTGAGATACAATCTTCCTAATGAGGATACAGACAGCGGTAAAAACCTCGCAATGACCCGGAAGAAGAGGCGGGCGCCCCTCTTCTGCACGTCTAACAAGAGCCAACTTCCTGTAATGTACGTACAGTACTACAAACCAGACCCAAAAAGGCGGGCGCTCCTCGTTGGCACAAGCGAGGTAGCATTATAACTACCCCTGCTGTACAGTAATAGCCTCCGCTTGTAAGTAGGAGTCGGATGTAAGTCGGATGTATGTAACTCGGGGACTGCCTGTATTTACAAATATATACAACACAGCTGTATGGGTCAGAAGAGGCACACCCCACTCTAGTGCTGGGACAAAGTCCAGCACCCAAAGGGCAAAAAGGCCAAAGTGCACCCCCCTGTTCACCATGAGCTGTGAACTTCCCTTAGCAGCACAGGTTGCAGGTTTTGCCCCCTTTTTTTTTTTGCACCCCCGTACTGTTGAAGTGCTCAAAATGGCTGCTTCTTCTGCCTGCCCCTCGGCCCAGCCTTGACCCCCTTCCATTTTTTAAACTTGTATGGAGTGACGTTTTCAGCTGACAAAAGCAAACCTGACCTTGTCCTCTCTGCTTTGTCCTCCGGGAACGTTCTGCGTGACCTGAGGCTGCAGAGAGAGCAGAGTGTCAAACAACGTCCGTGCCTCGGTGATCTGGCTGGCGATATCGGCGTTGGGGTGCTGTCCGAAGGCTTCTGGGTGATCCACAGCGGGAAGCAGGGAGATGAACTCCTTGTATGATGCCAGCGTACCGTCACGCGGGATGTAATACGCATCCAGGGAGGAGAGCCTTGGGAGAAGACATTTAAACATGGAGTGTGATACAAGCAGACGGATATTGTCAAGTTACCCAATGCACATGGCTGCTGCCTGCTATGGTCTGCATATCTAGCCATTGATGACCTCTGGTCATGAAGGGCTTAAAAATATCCTTCTTCAAATTCTTTATTGATCTTCCACAGAGAAAGCAATCAGTACAAGAAGAATATGGAATACAGTCTGCTTGTATTGCTTTAGTACATAAGAGATACACAATGTCACAGATTTATTGGAGTAGTATATGTATCTGTCTCTGTTACTGTTTTTCCTCATCCTGATCCTGGTAAATAAAAGTAGTTTAGGTGATGCAGATGCCTGGTGAGGACATTTTCAGGTTTTGGGTTAAATGGACATTAAAGTCAAATCTTTTTTTCCCCTCCCCCCCAATGTTAATGTCAGCACTTACCTTAAATGACGTCTCCTCATCCGATCTTCTTTCCTGATGTTTTCATCTGTCCCTCCATCGCTGCTGCGGGTCTCCGATCCAGCGCTGACTCCTCTGTCCTTGCTGGTACTTCCTGTCCCACGGTGTCTGCATGCGGGTGCACGCGTCCATAGACTTACCTTGCGTCTCTCCTCGTCTCCCGGCCCAAAATCTGGGTAAGTTTAAACCGCTGTTAAAGCGGATTTTGTTTTTTAAAAAAAACAAACTTTTTGCCTATATCTACTGCTTGCTAGCCTTATATATGCAAAAAAACCCGGAGGGTTTAGAACCCCTTTAAGAGGGATACTAGAGTGGACAGGTGGGAAGGACAGGGTGGGCTTCCATGGCCCATATCCATGGCCTTCATTGGTTCAGTGGTAGCCTCAGATGATATCAGCAGGGAACACACAGCCGGAGGATTTCCACTACAAATAACAGAAGGAATGTATCATCAATGATATAACATCTTACTTGTAGAACGTAGTGGTGATAGCGGGATCACAGAAATAGTCATTAATATAGGTTCCGAGCAGTCGTCGATCCCAATCATCCGTCACGTGGCCGCCATAGTTGACCCCAGAGATGAGATATTTCAGAGCTTCCCAAGGTGTCTCCTCGTACTCATCCAAGTACAAGCTGAGAAGATTCTCCGAGACCTGCAGAAAAAAACCTCATAAACCCCAATCATACACAATTCACTGGAGGTAAGGTAATCCTACACCACCAAGTACTGGGAGGGAGAGACTGAAAGAGTCAAGATACCCCAAAATCTTATGTGTTGTACTGTATGTGTCAGGGGTCTATGATGATGCCCAGCTAGGTGAAACGCACCAGTGAGAGTTGTAGCCGGTGATATCACGCGTTGCTATAGGCGATTTAGTTGTTCCTCACCTTTTAATATTGGTTTTAACACTTTATATCAAAACTATGGAAACTCTTTGCAATGTTCCGCTCTCTTCCCATTTCTTTCCTGCATAAAACTTTTCCGATACACTTACTACCAATGAATCGAGGATCAGAGCTGTGAGTAAAGGAGAGAATCATAATACTTCTTTCTTATGTGGATCTTCATTTATCCAGCTTGTATTTCTGGGCAAAACACGACCTCGAGGATTAAAGTGAACCTTGCAGTACAATACAAGGTCCGCATATAATGTTGGAGCCCCTCCCCCTTTATTATTTACCCAATGTCCAGATTTCTATAAGGTTAGATTTATACTTATCAGACTCCCCTCTTCTGCTTCTTGGAATATTATCACCACCCTTCCTGGAAGATTCCTGAGGAATGCTGAGCAGGTGAAATCTTGTGAGAAGACAATATAGTCCATTGCAAGTGCGTCTTCTCAAGAGATTTGGGCTGCTCTGTGTTCCACAGGATCTCACCGGAAGGAGTGTGATGTCACCCTCACCTGGGCACTGTGATTGGAAGATGGGGGTAAGAGAAGTATAAATCAGCTTTTTTCTTTTCTTTTGGAACTAAAGATTAGGTTGTTTGAAAAGGGGAAGGGGCTGGGCAGTATAAGCACACCTCGTTACTGCAAGTTCTTCTTCTACGTAATCAGGCCCGGCGCTACCGCAAGGCAAGTCAGGCGGCCGCCTGAGGGCACTGCAGGGTGAGGGCGGAAAAAACAGGGCATTTTGACAAGTACTTGTACTTGTCATAATGCCCCGATGTTTGCGCTATGTTTTTTCACTTACCTTCGGTGCGGGAGAGCAGCGGCGAGTCAGCGCTGGTCCGGTGGGAGGAGCTCCAGGTGGGGGATTATATATGGTCAGAGGTTGATCAGTTAAGATTTTACTGATGCAGCATTCAAAACCTCCAATATAAATATTACTTCCAAATGGAAGTCACTTCCACCCAATGTGGCAACCAGATGATCATACGGACTACAAAGATCAGCTCAGCCAGAACAATTATTACTGGAAGGTCTCACCTCAAAGTCGGAGTCGTTAAAGCCGTACACAATGTTCCAGCCTAGCTGGAGGAACTTCCTGCGCTCCAGGAGGATGCTGTGGAAGAAGCAGAGGGAGAAGAGCAGGCGGTGGTAGCTGGAGGCCTTGGTGCAGCGGGAGAACTGGGGCTCTGTGATCAGCTGGTAGAGGCGCTTCATGTTGGCGCGGAGACCCTGCACAATACACAAAACATCAACATCCTAGAAAGATAACGCACGACAGAACAAAATAGGCAAGTCCCACAATTGTACGTCTTCAGTGGTAGATTCCATGTTCTGCTCAGTTTTACAGAAGTTCCATAGCGGCTGGAGTGCCGATGTCGCCTACCCTTGTTCTAAAGTGTATCGAAAGCCAAAACTTACTTTTCGGTTTGGATGGAGCAAGGAAGGGTTGAAGCTTCTGGTGGCCAGCACAGCAGAATTTTAGGACCTCATTGTTTTGCTGAGATCATGGTTGCAAAAGTAGATTTAAAGTGACATTAAAGGATTTTTTCCCCCTCCCCCCCAATGTTAGTGTCAGGACTTACCTTCAATGAAGCCTCTTAATTCGATCATCTTCTTCCTTACTGTCCTTTTCTAGCTGTACCTCCGGCGCTGGTGCGGGTCTCTAATCCAGCGCTGACTCCTCTGTCCTCCTCCTCTCTGATATCTCACAGAGTCTGTGCGGGTGCACGCTGCTCCGTAGACTTACCTTGTGTCTCTCCTCGTCTCCCGGCCAAACGTCTGAACTGGGCATGCGCCCGCCCCAAGATGCTTTGCGGCCGCCCGAGACTATTCAGATGTTCGGACGGGAGCGTGCGGCGGAGACACGGGTTGTTTAAACCTGTTTCAAAAAGTTTTTAAAAAAAAGTTTTTGCATAGATCTGCTTGCTAGCCGTATATACATATTTATATATACATACATAAGCACACGCTATGGAAGCACACGCTATGGAAGCACGCTATGGAAGCACACGCTATGGAAGCGCACACTATGGAAGTACACACTATGGAAGCACGCTATGGAAGCACACGATATGGAAGCACACGCTATGGAAGCACACGCTATGGAAGCACACGCTATGGAAGCTCACGCTATGGAAGCGCACACTATGGAAGCACACACTATGGAAGCACACACTATGGAAGCACACACTATGGAAGCACACACTCTGGAAGCACGCACTATGGAAGCACACACTATGGAAGCACACACTATGGAAGCACACACTATGGAAGCACACACTATGGAAGCACACACTATGGAAGCACACACTATGGAAGCACACACTATGGAAGCACACACTATGGAAGCACACACTATGGAAGCACACACTATGGAAGCACACACTATGGAAGCACACACTCTGGAAGCACGCACTATGGAAGCACGCTAAGGAAGCACACACTATGGAAGCACGCTATGGAAGCACACACTATGGAAGCACACGCTATGGAAGCACACGCTATGGAAGCACACGCTATGGAAGCACACACTGTGGAAGCACACACTGTGGAAACACACACTGTGGAAGCACACACTGTGGAAGCACACACTATGGAAGCACGCTATGGAAGCACACGCTATGGAAGCACACGCTATGGAAGCACAC